CTGGGACCCTGCGGGTCGCGGGCCCGCCCGGGCCGGGCGGGCGGTGGTGGGGCGTCCTCAGGCAGTCCTGGAGAAGCCGGGGAGCGAGCAGCACAGGAGCAGGGGGCCGGGAGCTGGGCTCCTCACCCTCTCCCAGCCCACCAGCTCCTCCTGGCCTTGGGAGGCTGACCCTTCCGGACCCAGAGCCTGGCCTTTGACCCGCCCCCCGCCCTTCCTGACAGCCTCCAAGCACAGAAGTGCCCGTCCCTCCACCCCTGTGGTCCAGCTCTCTGGGATCTTTGCTGTCTCCCTCTCGGGCCCTCTTTTTCTCCTTGCCTCTCTGTCTGGCTCCTCTTTCACCCACGCCCCCCAGGAGAGGCTCACCTTGTTTCTGGCTCCTCCCCTCCCTCCCTCTTCCCCCTCTCCTCGGCCCCTGCCCGCGGACTCGGGCTCTCCTTTGGTTCCCTCCCGACCTTCTTCCCTTCCAGCCTCTCCCACTGTCCTCTGTGCCCGCTGTCCCCTCCCTGCCCCTCCCTCCCTCCTGCCCATCTCCCGCTCGTGATCTCCCCCCATCTCGTTGCCCCCGCTTTCATTTCTCTTCCTCTCTGTCTTCCCTTCTTTTTCTCTCCCTTCCCTTTCCTCTTCTGTCTCCCCTCCACCCGCCCTCTCCTCCTTATTTCTTCATCTCTCTGCATCACGGCCTCACTCCTACCCTCTACCCCACTTCTCTCCATCCGCACCTCTCTCCAGTTCTGTCTCTCCCCACCCCTCTTTTTCTCCGCATCCCTCCCATCTCTGCCTATTTGTTTCTGCCTCTCTTTGTCTCTGTCCTCCCCCTTCTGTCTCCCTCTATGTCTCTGCCCCCCCTCCTTCGGTCTGTCTCCCCCTCTCTGTCCTTCCCTCTCCCCTCCCTCTTCTGCGTCTTTCTCTCTCTCTCTCTCTCTCTGTCTCACAGCTGCCAGTGTCATTTTTGTGATCTGCAGCTAGTGTTCTCGCTCCAGCTGCATAGTCACAAAAGTGACCATTGGCAGGTGTGGCTGCGGCATGAGCAGGACAGGCAGGACACATGGACCCAGGGACCACCCCAAAGGCTGCTGGGAGGGCTGGGCTTTGGGGGGACACAGAGAAGAGACAGATACTACCCAAGGGGGTGCCTGAGGACCTCTGGATTCTTGGGGACCCTGTGGAAGGGCGGGGCTGGAAGCTGGCTGAGGGGCTTACCTGCTCTAACACAGAAGCCACAGCCAGGCCGGGCCTCCAGCACCCACTGCTTTCCCTCCCCAGACAGGTTGCTGAGAAGCCTGTTGCCGCTGGCAGGGCCCGCCCCTGCCCCCCGGCCTCCTCCTGCTTCTCTGCCCCTTGCCAGGCTGGCCTGCGGTCTCTAGAGGCTGGGCAGAGAGCAGAGGAGCAGAGCTGGGGTGGGGCCCTGGGGATAGTCTCTGAGCCTCGGGACAATGGTTTCTCACCGAGGCCCACAGGGCCTGGGGCACAGGCTTCTCCGAGCCGTGCCAGGGGCATCAGAGCTCTTTCCTGTTCCCCGTATTTTAAAAAACTCCCGTAGAGAACACAGACCCATTTTAAGGGTGCACAGGTAAGCTAGAAGGTTCTGTTCCTTTGCTTTGGGCAGTAGACACCCAGAACAAATGAATTGCTATTTAATAAACATAGTATTTATTGAAGGTCAGCCAGAGGGAAGGGAAAACGATTTGTTGAGGTCTCAGAAAGTGACCCCCCCAAGCAAGTCCGTTGACCTCCCTCTGTTTCCTTACCTGTGAAACGAGGGTCACGACCGGTACTAGTGGGCTGTGGCAGGAATCAATAGGATGAAGTCTGTGAAATCCAGTTTAAGTGTCTGGCACACAGCAAGGCGCAATTAATTCTAAATGCCGTTTATTATCATTATTATTAAACAACTGGGAACCACTACTGAGACTTCTGTTCTCCAGAGCACTGAGACTGCAGCCCTCTGACGTGCGCGCCAATGTGCTAGGAAACCGTGGGGATTCCTGTTGAACCAGCCCAAGCACCTGGCCCCTTCGAGTCTGGAGGAATCAGAGTGGAGGGCGGCTGAGTCCCAAACTCCCACTAAAACAATCCATTACCCCCAGGAAGGTCCTCCCTAGTCCTGGCCCATTTGGGGGTGTCGGGATTCTGCAGGTTACTCTCGAAGCAAGAAGGTTATAAGGGGCAAGGGCAGGTCAGACAGGGCCACCAAGGCAGGGAGAAATCCTCTGGTCCTGCGTAAGCTGTGGTCAGGGCAGTAGAGAAGAGTCTGGGGTCCAAGTGGACCCCAAGTCTGCCTATGACCCAACTGCAAAGCAGCACCCAACCTGCACTGAGGTGAGGTTGATCCGGGGGACAGGCAGCAGCACAGTGTCCCGAGCGGAGGGACTGTCCCCCGCTGGCCAAACCAAAGGGAGCCTGAGTCGGGAGGGGTCAGCCTGGCCAGCTGTGGAGGAGGGCAGAGGGGCAGAGCAGTGACGTGGCAAGACTAACACCCTTGAACTCGCCGGAAAGCCCGTCTTCCCTGTGCTTCCGGCAGAAGTGGCTAGTCGTATTGTTCTGTACTGTCACTAGTAGTAGCGACCACTTGCTAAGTACCTACTGTGTGCCAGACCTTGCACTGAGTTCTTTCCATGGATCATCTCATGTAATCATGGTGAGAACCCTAAGGAGAGGGTTACTGTCATTATCGCCCCTACTTTACGGGTAAGAAAACCGAGGCTCAAAGAGGTTAGATCAGTTGTTCAGGGCGCAGTTTGGGCACCGAGCTTGTAGGTGACCAGGAAAGCCCACAGCTACCCATGCCGCCTCCGGTCCTTTGCCTGCAGCCAGCTCCTCTCCCTGCCCTCTCCCTCCTCTGCCCGGGCGCGTGGGAGAAGAGAAAGAGGGGCCACAGGGGTGCATCCCGGCTCTCCTTTCCCTCTGCTGGTGCCCCCTGACCCCGCGCCCACTTCTCGTTGCAGGAAGGTGAACAAGTGCTACCGGGGGCGCTCCTGCCCCATCATCGTGCACTGCAGGTGTGTGGGGCAGGGGGTGGGGGCGGGCCCTGAGGTGGGGCCTTCCTCAAATTGGTCCCTCTGGCCCTACACCCTGGGGCACGTCTCTGGAGCACATGGCCTGCCTGTCCCCTTGATGCCTGGCAGCAGTCAATAGCCCGAGGGCAGAGGCAGCCTATCTCGCTTTTGTTAATGGCCCATGAGCTAGGAATGGTGTTCACACGATTTTAATGGTTAAAGGGAGAAAAGGAAATATCCGTGGCCCGCAAGGTTGGGAATAGTTGCCACCTGGCCCTTCACAGAAAAAACTGTTCTACAAAAACCTGGCCAGAGGCCAGAAACCTATTCCCATTTCCTCCTGCTGTCTCCGCCCTGGGGCTGAGCCAGGGCCCAAGTGACACCCTGTGGGTCACAGGCTCCAACTCAAGGCCCATTCCGGGGCCGGGTGCTATAACCGGTCCCTCATCCTCAGCTCACCCGCACCCTCCCCGAGCCAGCCCGTGGCCCCACCAGTGTCCTCTCCGCCCCGGGCCTTCATGGCTGCTGCACCCCTCCCCCTTTCCGCTGGCTGCTGAGCTGAGCTGAGCTGAGCTGAGCTGAGCGTCACCATCTGCTGTTTCAGTGATGGTGCAGGGCGGACTGGCACCTACATCCTCGTCGACATGGTACTGAACCGCATGGCAAAAGGTGAGGGCCTTCCCCGCGGTGCCCACAGCCCCGGCCCAGGCTTCGCCCGGCCCTCCAAGCCTCCCGCCCCAGGATGGCCCAGCTCTCTGGGTCCTGTCCTTCTCTGGACACCCCCTGAGCAGCCCCGTGCCCCCCGCACTCAGGAGTGAAGGAGATCGACATCGCTGCCACGCTGGAGCACGTCCGGGACCAGCGGCCGGGCCTCGTGCGCTCGAAGGTGACTGCCTCCCTTCCCCAGGCAGACCAGCCGCAGCCTGCCTTTCCTGCCTTCCCCTCCCCCTGCCCTCCCCTGCCTGCCTCTGTTACCTCCTCGGAGGACTGCCCCCTCCCGAGTGACCTCCCAGCTCCCCTTCCTAAAGGCCCCTGTAGGGCTGGAGCAGAGACCAGGCCTCCCCTGACCCTCCTCCCACTGCCCTCCCAGGACCAGTTTGAATTTGCCCTGACAGCTGTGGCGGAAGAGGTGAACGCCATCCTCAAGGCCCTGCCCCAGTGAGCCCCGGGCCACCCGGTGGGCAGCCAGGCTCTGTCCCTTTGCCTGTGTGAGCATCTCTCTGTGCACCCATGCTTCACCCCCCCCCCGCACCTTGGCCCCTCCAGGGCACATCCCTTGCCAGAGGAGAACGTAAGGAAGGCAAGGGAAGTGGGAGGGGGCAGGCCCACCCGGCCTCCCACATGCTGCAGCCCGGGGAGTGCCATGGGGGAGCTGGCAGCCAGCCAGGAGGAGGGAAGTCGTGGGCAGCCACTGTGCCCACAGCCTTCTCCTGCCTGACCTCCCTGGCCCCCATCTCTCACCGGTCTGGATGTTCCTGGCGTGTTTGTGGGGACACCCCCGGCTCTGCCCCAGTGGAGACAGAACAGGGTGGAGGGGCCACCACACGCAGCCCCCGCTGCTTCCCCAGCCCCTGCTGCCCGCTGTCTGGCTGGCCAACCCGCAGCCTGCCCCCCGCCCCCTGCCCCGTCCCACGGAGCTCCTCTCCCCCGCCCCCTGCCCTCCCACCATGTGCCACTCAACCCTTCCCCTGGCACAGGAGAACATTTCCAGAAAACTCTACTTTTGTATCAGTGTGAATAAAGTTAGTGTGTTATGTGTGCAGCTGCAGCCTCGGCTCCTACGCGCTTCTGTCCGCGCCGCTTCCAGACGGCAGCCCAGCCTCAGTCTGGAGCCAGCTGCCGGTGTCCCCCGGGGGACGCGCAGGCTCCCCCGGGGTCTGGATGGGAGCTGGCGACCAGGCCTCCGTTCCGCTGTGCCTTCTGAGTGTCGGGCAGGCGTCCACACACATTCCCAGGCGTCCACACACATTCATTTGTTTAACCTTCACGTTTAATCTTACACGTGGAGAGACTGTGGCATGCACGGAAACTGCCTGAGGGAACACAACTTGTAAGAGGTGGAGTCAGGATTCGAACCCGGGCATGCTGAAACTCTTTACTGCCTTTCAGTTCTTGGGTAGCTGCCTCGTGCCCTTGGCCTCAGGAATAATGTACATTGTGCAGGACTGAGGATACAGTTAAACAAACTGCCTTCCACACCTTCAGCAAAAATCAGCTGAACTCGGATAGACCAAGCCTGTGAGATGTCACAGCGGGCATTCACCTTGTGACAAGGGACACCTTCTTCCCCGTCCCCTGGCTCCCAGAACTGTCCATCGCTATGATCCCAGAGGAGCCCTCGCCTGTGTGTCACCCTTGGGCAAAGGTGATGGACACATAAAGAGACAGAATGAGCCTCAGACCTGGAGCTACTTGGACCTGGGGGCCCCTCAATCTCCCCAAGGCTCAGTCCTCTCCCATGGGACACTGGGTGGGTACCGCCCGCCCCACGCAGGGGGCGGAGGCACCAGTGAGCGGCTGCAGGTCCTCCACGCCCGACCCGATCTCAGTTCAGGTGCATCCAATTCCAGCATGTCTGACCTCTCAAAGGCCAGAAGTTTGTCAAAACAGCCACCGCACCGACTTCAGCAAATCCCCTCTCTCTAAGACAGAGGCTTGAAGGTCTTCTTTCAGGGCAGGCCGCTTCCTTGCTTTGAGAAACACACACTGTAGGCCCTTTAGCCCTTGAAGATGAGGGCAAGCATTTGCCCTGGAGTGGGAGAGGAGGTTGGCGGGGGAGCTGGGCTGCCCTGCTCGGCAATGGAAAGGTGCTTGCCCTGTGGCCGCAGGGGCACCTCTACAGGGATCTGGAGACCAGGAGCGGTACCCAGCTTTCTCCTCCCTGGGTCCTGGCGAGCTGGGGGCCTGGACCCTGAGGGGCACGGACTTGTACCACTCCACGGGGGGAGACGGGCCTCTGAGACGCGCCACTGGCTCTGGGCCGAGGAGACCCGGGAAGAGGTGAGTCTATGTGCATTTTCCTGCAGTTCCTTGCTTTCGGCTGTCCCCGTGCTTTCGGTCAAGTCATTCTCTAGTCAGGTCCTCGCTGCTGCGGAGTACTGGGCAGTGGGTCCCCCCGTGAGGGGACCACAGCTGTCTCAGGAAAGCCGTTTGTGGGGCCCCAGGGGGTGAGGGCAGAAGAACGTGAGCATTTCTTGGGGCTCCACAACATACGGGGGGGTGGGGTGGGGGCAGCCCGGTCAAAGAGGGGACGTCTGCCATTGGCTAGGCAGGCTCACGATCTCTAGATGTTTGGGCAAGAAAGGGAGGTGTGTCAGCCACCGGTCCCGTAGGTCCCCGGGCCACCCTGGAAGGAAGAACACAGCACAGAGGGTCCCGCCGAGCTCTCGAAACTCAGCTTTATTGGCTTCCAGTGTTTCCCTCTGGTGTGCGCTCGGCCCCGCTGGCTTCAAGGGGTCTCCGAGACGCCGTGTCACGGGGTCTGGCAATGCCCTGGCGCCGCCCTCCCCTCCCCGGCCCCTGGGCTCCCCGGGCAGGGAGGAGGAGAGGCGGCTCGGCTGTGGTGCTGGAGAGAGAACGGGCTGCAGGGGCAGCGGCCAGAGAAGCCACACAAGCAGCAACATGCCTGGAGTGCCCATTGCATGCCAGTCCCGGACACAGACGCGCACACACGTCCCAGAGGGCCCTGCCCTGCAAGCTCTCCGCCAGTCCGCACCCATCAGCTTTTTGGTGATCCCATCCCAGCTTGTTCCTCAGAGCCCAGCACTGCCCACAGGAGAAGAGCTGCTCCCAGATGCCACGGGGCCTTCATCTGTACACGCAACCTCTCTAACCTCGGCGCTAGCAACAGGTGTCAGGGAAATGGAGGCTCGGACCATTGCCCCTTCATCCACATTCTCATCACCCCTACCAGGGACGACTCAGAGGATAACTAAGATCTTCCCATCGCACAGTGAGTGACAGGCTGACCTGGGCTGGAACTACATGTCCCAAGATGCACAGCTCCATAACCACACACCACTTCCCACAAGCCCGATCTATCAGAAATGAGGCAGGGTGTGTTGCATTCTGGGACTAGTAGTCCCCAAGAGACAGCACCAAACACCCAGTGAAGAGTTTATAGGCTAAGACTACTGCCGCCTCCCACCCGGCTCCCACCCACCATCCAGGCCCGGCTCTATGCTTAGCACAGGTGAGGGAGAGGAATGGAGGGTCCCCTCCCAGCGCACAGGGGAGGGCGCTGTCCTGTTGGAACTGTGCATCGACTCTGGATCCCGGACATCCAGCTCAGAACACATCTGGGGAGAGAGCGGGGGTGGGTGACAGGAGAGAGGGTCAGCAGCAAGCCGTGGAGGGTGGCGCCGCTGAGCATGCAGACCTGGGCTAGCCCTGTGGCCTCTCCCTGAGCCCTGATGCATGGTGAAGTGGGACAGGGCACGGTCCCCTCCTAGGCCTCCCTCCTGGGGCACCCTGGCCCTATCCCACTGCTCCAGGGTTAGCCGGCCTCACCTCTGCCTAGTCCCGAGGCCTGGGGCAGGCTGAGGCAGCAAGAGGAAGGGAGGAGGAGTGGGCTCCGGTTCCAAATCTGGATGGCCGGGAGGCTCCCGCCCCACCCAGCTAGCCTCCCCGGAAGACCTTATGGCCCTACCGGCCACAGCATCTTCCTCGTCACACTGAGGCCTCCTTGGGGAAGGAAGGAAGAAGGGAGTCCTAGCCAGACGGCAGTGAAAGCAAGCGACGCGGCCCACGGGGAATTGCAGAGAGGAGAGTGTGAGGAAGGAGAAGCAGCACCAGAAGGGAAGCAACAGAGACAGTCAGAGCTCAACGCTGCGCAGAGACCAGGGTGGGGGGTCCGCAGCCGAACACGGAGAGCCGCAGACTCCCCGGCGTTGCCGCCGGCTTGCGCTCAGAGAACCCCAGGCCAAGTCCTCCTTCCTTGACATCATCAGCAACACAGGTGGCAGACGACCTGGGCACAAAAGGCCTGCCCCAAGCCACTAATGCCCCTCAGATGCCCGCCCCCCATCAAATAAGAAGTACACCCTGGCTCCTCAGGCCCTCCCACAGCCCGGAGGCCCCCACCCTGGGCTTCACCGGGGACCTCTCAGCTCAGTGGAGCAAAGCCTGAGTCCACACGGGAGCGTGGCATGGGGGGACCTGTAGAGGGAGCACAGAGTTGGAGGGGCCACACCCCTCTCTGTTCTAACAGTGAGCGGGACCCCAGGCCATCCTGAATCGGGGGAGCAGGCTGAGCCTGGGGATCAGAGGATGAGGCACCGGGAGGCCTTCTCTTCTGGGGGTGTGCCGGCTTTGGCTGCGTTACCCCTGGCGCTCTCGTGAGTCCCCCCCACGCCCCGGTCTTGGTACTGAGCCTTGAGATGCCCGAGCCGTCTTCGCTGTGCCTCCCGCCCACCTGCCGGTTTCTTCCCAGCCGCCTCCATCTCGGACAGGCTGTAGGCCATGGCGAGCTGCAGGTCCTCGTCGTCCTCGGAGAGGTCGTGGTCAGGGCGGGGGGCCGGGGTCTGCTGCACCTGCGTGCCTCCAGGTCTGGAGGCGACGGACTGTTGCTGCTCACGCCGGCTCAGCTCCAAGCCCAGGGCCAGGTCGTCCGGAACACCTGCCGGAGTCATGGCCTCCATGAGTCCCTCTGGCCCAGGCCAGGGGGGTCCTGCCAGGCTGCCACATGCAGCGACGACCCTGACCACGTCCAGCCCCTCGTTGGGATCTGCCACGCACATGTTTTAACACCCAGCACAGCGGTTACAGCCATGCGCAGGTGTTCAGCTGCCACGGGTACATAAGCTATCTCCTCGGGCCGGCTACTCAACCTCCCCGAGCTGCCCTTTCCTCCTTGATAAAACGGGAATGGTGAGAATGTCTACCTTGTCAAAATGTTCCCATGGTTAACCAAGAGAGCATAGTGTTCCCAGGGTGAGTGGCATGAAAGGGCAGCCACGGCGAACACCCTGGACAGTTGGGTGTGGGGGCAAGAGTTCAGCTCCAGGAATCCCGAGTTTCATTCCTGGATTTCCCCCTCGCTAAGTAGGACACAGCCTCCGGCCTGGGGGTGCTTGGGATCTCGGCCATGTAACTGTGCTCAGGCGCAGCCGCCTCCAGTGAAAACTAGGGCAAACACCAACCGCCCTGCTTTCCCCTGGCTGTGTGAGGAATACGGGAGCATGGAATGTGTGCGAGTGCTTCCAAAACAGTCGAGTTCTGCAGAGGCACACCCCAGTGATGACGACAGTGACTGGCTGGCCCTCTGAGGCTCCTCGGTCCACCGTCCTGGCTCCCTTCCGTGTGATGGCCATCCGGACGGAGATCCTGCCAGTCTGGCCTGGTGGCGATTCCCACCATGCCCCAGGGGAGTTCAGACTGGAGCAGGTTGGGGAGGGGGCTTTGGGGCCTGGGGCTGGGGCTTGCTGCCAGGGACTGAGTGGCAGAGCCGCTCCTCACCATTGATTGTGATCGACTTCAGCTGCCCGTCCTCCTCCACTTCCACCCGTTCCTGCCCGTTCTCCATGATTCTGTGGGAGACAGCACAGGTCACTCCGTGGGCATGCCCGAGCGCTGTGGGTGTGCCTGCCGGCTCTGGGATGTGGTTCTGGGATGCAGCTCTGGGATGCAGCTCTGGGAGGCGGTTCTGGGATGCTGCGGTGACCAGGACCAACGGGGCTCTGCCCTCAAGGGAGTGACTTTCCCATCAGTGCAGCTCCTCCTCCACCCGGCAGGGTCCCAGGAGGAGCCCTCACCTGCGTGTGGTGATGCGATGTCCCTGGACAAAGGTGGTGGATGTGGAAACAGAGCGAAAAGCACCAGCTCCAGGACTGAAGGAGAAAGACGAGGAGGAGAACTCTGGCATTGGGACAGAGGAGGAGAGGTGGTTAGAGGGGGCTCGTCTGCAGCAGGCTGCAGTCACAAGGGTCCGGGAACCTCTGTGGGCTCTCCCCGCAGGGAGGCAGGGCTCTGGGTGCACCAGGGGGAAGACTTGGGAGAGCCACGAGCTGAGGTGAGATGTCCCAGGACTCGGAGCTTGCAAAGATGGGAGGGGACAGAACTTACCAGAGTGCCCAGGGAAGGAAGAAGAGAAGGTGAAGAAGGGGCCTGTGTGTCGTGCACCCCGATTCTGAAGCTCTGAGAAGGGGCCCAGGTCATCTGCAACAAGCAAGCAGAAGCAGATGAACAATCATTTGCCCCCCAAAATGTGATATGTAAATCCTGCTTATCAGACTAGAAACATAAGCTGCTAAGCAACTGGCTGCACTTCTGATTTCTTTTTCTTTTCTGCTTGGACTGACTTACAAAGTAAATTCCTTTTCAATATTATATATGAAACAGTTCCCTGGTGCATTTTGTCCACAACAGGGAACAAAGGAAGGGGAGGGGGAAGGGAAAGGGGGAGGGAGGACAGACAGCCCCTTCGACGGGTCAGCGTGGCACAGCGTCGGGCCGACACGGCAGCGAGACCCGCGTTCCCGCGTGCCATGTGTCTGCAAGCACATGTGCCTCAGTCACCTGCAAGTGGGGATAAAATTATCTGCCTCGCAGGGTTCATGTTAATCATTCCAGAAAACAGTATCTGCTGTTGTTTGCAATGGCATTATTATTGTCCCATGAGGCTTTGAGGCTTGCTTTCCTGGCTGTCACTGTGGAGGGCTAACAATGTATCATTGTTATCGTTTAATGAGACAAGTCTCTGAAGTGTCACGACGGGGTCATGGGAGTTCAGGCCTGTGTAAGGTTCTGTCCCCACTCTCCCTGGATCCACCTTCACAAACTCTCCAGTCTTTGGGATTCTGCTTCCCTCTCAGCCTTCCTCCCCACACCCAGGACCTCCCAGCTGATGGAGGGCAGGTCTGGAGGGGGAAGCCGAGTTAGTCAGAGGCCTCCTGAGCCCACTCACCAAAGAGCTCTGCAAAAGGGTCTGCACTCCCGAAGAACTCCCGGAAGACCTCCTCGGGGCTGCGGAAGGTGAAGGTAAAGCCGGGCCCACCACTGCCGGCCTCCGCCCGGGATGGGCCACTTCCTGGAGGACAGGCAGGGGGAGAAGGGGGCTTAGGCGGTATACTCCCCTGGGCCAGGGGACCCCACCTAAGGCACAGCTGGGAGCCCGGAGAGAACATCCATTGCAAGAGTCTGCGCCCCCCCCCACCACCTCCCTGACCCACTTCTGTCCCCCAGGCCCCACAGTCCCACCTACCTGCTCCCGTCAGCCCTTCCCGGCCATAACGGTCATAGATCTCTCGCTTATGCTCTGGAAGGAGAGACCAGATCATTTCTCCCTCCCTCTGGCATGCTGGCCTCCCCTGCTGGGCTAAGACCCTCAGAGGACTGCCCAGGGGCTGACATTTGGGGGCAGCAGGGTGCACAGGGGGCAGGGGCTACAGGTTTTAGCAGCAGCTCGGCCCTTCACCCACTGACTCCTTCTCATCTGTAAAACGGACACGATAACAACGCCTACCTCCTAGGATGGTCGAGGATTAAATGAGATAACTCATGTACATGGCTTAACACAGTGCCTGATATGCAGTAAATGTCCCATAAATGTTAGCTTATTACGACTGTGTTATTATTGGTCAGGGCTTAGCCTAAATGTCACTTTCTCAGAGGGGCCTTCTGGGACCAGTGCCACAAAAATCGCTGCCTGTCATTCCCTGTCACATCTCCCTGCTACTTTCCTTTGGAATACTCTCGTCAGTTTATTTATTTCGTTACTGTCAGTCTTCCCCGAGCGGAATGTGATAAGCCCATCAGGATGAGGACAGTGCCTGCTTGCCCTCCATGGTTCCCCAGTAGCCAACAAGGGCCCAGCCCCAAAAGTATCCAAATTAATATTTTCTGAATGAATGATAAAAAGACCTGGATTCATATTCCAGCTGTGTGACCCTGAGCAGGGTACCTCACCTCTCCCAGCCTCAGCTTCCCTGCCAGTAAAATGGGGCTGATACATCCTGCCTCGAGGGACGGCTGTGAGGACTCCCAGAGGCCACACCCACCAATGCCTGGTGCAGAGGAGGCTCAGGACATGTCGGTTGCCTGCCCTGCAGCCTATCCTTTGTCAAGGCCCGTGCTGCAAGTAGCAGACGCTAGGGAGCAGGCACTGAGCACAGGGAATGAGGGGGAGAATGAAAAGATGCTTTGCACATAGTATAGGTGCTCATTTAAAGGGGAAAAAGCCCCAGAGTCCCTGTGTGTGGGGGCGGGGGGGGGGGAGAGACACTTGAATGCCAGCTGGGAAAAGGCACAGCTTTGTGAAGGAGTGCAACAGGGCAAGAAGCGGGGGCGGGGGGGGGGGCGGTGATGGGTACCACCCACCCAGACCCAGGCCTTACTGTCTGACAGCACTTCATATGCCTCGGCCACCTCCTTGAACTTCTTCTCAGCAAATTCCTTATTATCTGGGTTCTTGTCTGGGTGCCACTGGAGAGCCTTCCGCCGATACCTGCAGGAAGTGGGTTCACAGGGGAGGGGAGAGGGACAAATGGAGCCACTTTCCGCCAGAGAACAGAATGACCCATTTTCCCACTAGCCAACCAATGTCCTTTCACCCCAGCTGCTGGGGCTGCCTCTGCTGCGGTGTTTTAATGGGGGTTCCCTATCTCCCTTCTGCAGCCAGTGCTAGGACTGCTTCTATTGACAGGTGATAATATGAGGGTGAGAAGGCCCCAGGCCTAAACCCTCCCTGGGGCTCGCTGGGGCTGGGGTTGCACGGGTGGGGTTCCATGGAGAGTAGAGGGCAGTGGTCCCTCCTGGTCACATTGCCTGGGTACCTTTGCACGGCATCCTAAGAAAGCCCACATCTAGGGGTGGGGAGAGGCGTGGAAGGGAGGGCTTACTGGAGAAGGACCCACAGTGCAGCTCCCAGCAGAACTTCGCAGCTATAGACTTTCTCCTACCCATCCAGGGGTCTCCTTCCTCCCTACGGATGTCAGGGACCTGGTTCCTCGGGCACTGCCTCTGAAGGGCCCCACGGTGCTGGGGGCGGGGACTGGGGGTTTGAGAGGCTTTGTGGTGCCCAGCGGAGGCACTTACGCCTTCTTTATGTCGTCAGCGGACGCACTTCGCGGCACGTCTAGGATCTCGTAGTAGGATGCCATGGCAACTCGTCGGCAGTCAGGCTGGCTTCCGTGGGGCTGTAGGAGAGAAGGATAAGTCAGGCAGAAAGACCCGAGGGCGGTTCCCTGGGGCTGAAGCCCCCCAGGGTGGCGGGAGGCGCTCCCACGGGGGGAGAAGCGGAGCCCAACTCGGCTCTTTTCGCCGCGGGTGACTGGGCTCGGTCGGGCAGCCTTATCGGCCCCTGCAGGCCGGTGCCACTGGCTATCTCGGTGCCTGGGCCCGGGGAGCTCTAGCGCAGTCCCCTAACTCCGCAGCCAGGCCCAGGGCCCCCAGCCTGACGGGGCACCCTGCCCGCACCTCCTCCTCCCAGAGTCCTCGGGCTCCTGCGGTGCCCCGCCCCTGCAACCCGCCGGGAACCGTCTGGCACCCGCTGCGGGGCTCGCGGCTGCTGCGTAGGACGCCGCCGGCCCAGCTGTGCGCGCAGGCCTGCGTCAGCTGCACCGAAACTACTAGAGACTCGGAGGAGGCCGGCTTGGCCTGTCACCCGGGGGACGGTGGCACGGGGGGTGCGGTGGGGAGGGGGGGAGTGCTGCTGCAGGGGTTGCCGGGAGATAGGGGCGGAGCCGGCTATTTTGGGCTTGCACCGAGACTACGTCATCCCCAGCTGAGACCTGCGAGACGCCAGCCGGCTCCGTCCCGGCGTGACGCACTTGCCAGCCAGCAAGCCACCTAGTTCTCGGTCCCTGTCGCTTTTCTGGAGACAAGGCTCGATGATCCATGGTTACTCACCTCGCGGGAAATCGGCCCCCAAGGACTCCCAGACTTCCCTTTGAGCTAATCCTCCTTCAAATTCCAGCTGTAGCCCCAGGTCTTCAAAAGAGGCTGCCCCGACTCACCTGAATGGGTCAGAGCTGCCTCTCATCGCGCCTTGCGGCGTCCTTCGCCGCTCCCGTCAGAGCTACAAAGCAGCATTTGTGTATCTGATGAACATTTCACTTCTCCTACTGAAACGTGAATTCCACAGGGCAGAGCTTGTGTCTTTTTCTACTAGAGTATTAGGGCCGTGGCGGGGTTCAAAAATAACCATTGGATGATTAAATAATGGACAGATGTGAACCTCTTACAGACAGTTTTGACACATTTGGGGAAGTGGGGTTAAAGGGTAAAAGGAAAATGAGGGGGAGGGAGGGAGGAAGAGAGGGCGGGGAGGAAGAATTCCTGGTTTCAAGGTTTTTCTTCCCAAAGTGATCCTGAGTAGATTTCTACCTGAAAGTGATTCCTGAGTTCAGGCCTCATGGGATATTTAGAGAACCTTCCAGAACTGACTCCTGCTTGATATCATTCAGGCCAATCCACCCAGCATTAATTGAGCATCTCCTACATAGTGGATGTTGCCAGGATATGGAAAGAAGAATGTGGTCTAACCCCTGCCGCCCCAGGGCTCCCACCTGGTAAAATACCAGTCCGCTCATGCAGCCCGCTGGGGATACCCAAGGCTTGGGAAATAGTCAGACCTGGGTCTGCAACCTGGCACTACGGCGTGACGTGGGAAAACCTCTGGGAACTGTTTTTCCTCCCCCAGTACAGGTAACATCTAAGGCTGCTTAAAAGTCAGATGAGGTGGGGCATATAGTGGGTTTTAGTACAGATTTTCTCTGGCATCATTATTGGCCCACGCAGTAATGGTTATATGGGTCCAGAAGAGTGTTTTAGACTAGTGACCCAGAAAATCTTCACCGAAGAGAAGAGCTTGCGCCAGATATGAGAAAAGAAGAGCGGTGTGATTTGTCCAGTTGTCCCGCCTGCCCACCGTCTGGGCCTCCTGCCCCCATCTGGGGAATTCCCATTGCATAGGCCTTGGTGGCAGGCAGGCCCGCCACAACCTGCCTCAAAGTCCCCCGGACACTTGCTCTCCTAGACTTCTCGGCTCCAAGGGTGCAGGCAAAAGACATGAGCTCTGCTACTCAGGAGCTCCCAGTGGGAGTTTGAATCTGGATCAAGTCACGGGCAAGTCTGGAGAAGCTGGGGCAGTTGAGAATTCGTTTCTGCTCTGTGGTGGCAGCGGAGCCAGCAGCGGCCTCTAGTGTTTGGAGGAGAAAATGTCAGCCTCCGTGCCTGGTTGGGAGGGGGCCTCACTGCAGGGGGTAGAGGGGACAAGGGGTCTTTCAGGCAGGCAGTCTTGTGCCCTGACCTTGACTATGTGCTGACTGCCCAGGTTTCCTGGGTGCCCACCCGTTTACAGAGGCCTGTTGGGGGCCGTTGCATGGATTCCGTGAGCTACCCAGTATCTCTCCAAGTCTCTTCATGTTTTCTTTCTTTCTTTTTTTTTTAAGAGTTGTATTTTTGGGGGTGCAGGGCAAAGGGGGAGAAAGGGGAGAAAAACATGGGACAACTGTAATAGCAAAATCAGTAAAATATACTTAAAAATAGTTGTCTTTTTTAATCCACACCCAAAGATATGTTCACTGATTTTTAGAGAGAGGGAGAGAAAAACACCGATGTGAGAGAGAAACATTGATCGGTTGCCTCCCGTACACACCCTGAGTGCAGACTGAACCCACAACCTTTTGGTGTTCTGGACAAATGCTGCAACCGTCTGAGCCACCCGGCCAGGTCCATGAATGACTTCTTGTTTTAATTTGCCAGAGTTACCTTCTGCTGTTTACAAGAGTGCTGCTGATCTTGGTATAAGAGGAAGGAGTGGTTAAGGTTAGATTACTTCCAAACCTTCTAAATCTCTTTCTTCTTACTTCTCCTGTCTCCACAGACATTTGTCTAGCACCTAGTATGTGTGTGATATTATATTAAGAACAGGAATATGAAGAGGTTTGAGTTTCAGTCCCTGTACTCAAGACGATGAAAATCCAGTTGGGCCATGGACAAATGACAGCCAAAGGAAATTCAATAAAACACATCAGAAAAACAGGGTCCATTTCCTTTGTTCACAAAGAATTCCAACAAATTAGTGAGGACAAACAACACCATTCTTTAAAAGGGAAAAGGGCACAGGCAAGACACTTCGCAGAAGAGAAGGCACTGACTTTAAAACCATTGAAAAGATGCTCAGTCTTACTCATAACAAGAGAATTATGCAGGAAAGCTGTGACAAAATACTGTTTCACTGACCAGATGATTGACAAAGATCACAAAGTTTAATGCAGCATAGGGGCAAGGCTGTGGGCGTGGGCATTCTCACACACGGGTAGGGGGAGTGTAACTGGGTATAACTTCTAAAAGGGGCAATATGAGGTGTATCAAAACTAAAGGTGCATAGCCTTTGATCAGCAATTGCAATTTTAATGACTTATGGTTGTACCTGTGTGCAAAGGAGTATGTACAAGAGTTACAGCATTCTTTTCAAAAGCAAAGAGTTGAAAGCAACTTAAATACCCATCGATAGTACAATGGTTAAATAAGTAATGGAGTGAATACAATGGAATAGTGTATTGCCACCAGAAAGAATGAGGTATGTTTATGTGTTCTGATGTCGAGTATCTTCTAGATTTATCAAGTGAAGAAAGCAGGTAGAGAAGGAAATGCATCTAAGTGTGTATACACACATTAGTATATACACAGATGCCTCTGGAAGGAAACACTGACAAAGAAGTTAACAGGGATGGCTGCCAAGAGGGGAGTCAGTAAAGGAAACATTTTCACTGTATAAGCTTATTTCTGCTGTTTGTAGATCTGTTTGGTACTTTCTGAATTCTGAAGCATGTACCAATAACTGTACAAATACATACAGAATTTTTTAAAAGTCTCATTGGGAAAAAAGGGTACTGGCAAGGAGCCAAGTGCTGCCATTCAAGGCAGTCCATGCCAAGTACCGAAGGAGTGACAGAGGCACAGGAGGGGCCGAGAGAATCTAGAGGAGGCAGAGCTGCCCAGGGCTGGATGGGTTCTGGGTGACCGTGACCTCAGCTGGAAGGAATGGCAGCACTGAATCGAGCAGGGGGAGGTGGCACTGCAGAAGGGGGAATGGTGAGAATGCAGCTTTGGAGGCGGGCCCGTCCCTGACACATCAGAGGCCCGGGAATAGAGGTGCTTGGTGGGATCCAAGGCTGGGAATCCGTCTCCCGTGTCGGCCTGCAGGAGAGATAATTGTAGCCTGGCTTTAGAAGCATCAGGGATGAAATCATTCCCCTGCATGGAGGGAGTCCCCAGGAGCCTGGCTGGGTGGTGGCACTCCCAGCTGCCCTGTAGAGCCAGAGTTGCCACCACCCCACACCCACACCCGCACCCAGTCCAACCTTGCCCTGCCACGACCTGCCAGCACCTGCCAGCAGGGTTTCTAGCAGAGGGGCCTTTCGGGGCCTGAGTGGAGATGGCCATACAGCTGCCCAGGGTGGGCTGGCTGGTACAGCCGACAGGAGGGGAGCCTGACCACATCTCTGGATGCCCACCATCCTGGCAGGTGAAGACTCACCTCCCATCTTGGTCCTCCCTGCTGGTCTCTCCCAAGCCCTCACCTCACCTCCTATGAGATGTTGGGGGTTAGGGAGAAGGCTTTTTAGAGGGCACTGATGGCCCCAAAGATGCCTCTGCCTCTGCCCTTGGTCAGCCCAGAAACTGGGTGCCTACACCCCCCCCAACACACGCCCTCCACCACAGAGCCTGGGCAGGATAGTGTCAAAGGGAGTATCACCCCCCTCCCTGCCTTCTAGGCACCTGAGTCACTGTCTGGGAACTGGGGACCTGGCAGGCTCAGGAGGGGCGGTGTCTGGAGGGGTGCCTAGGACTGCTGTGGGCAGGAGCGGAGGGGAGGGCGTCTGGAGCAGGGGAGGGCAGCATATGCTTTGGCCCAGGCTGGCCTGGGTTGGAATCCTTACTCCTCCCTCTACTAGCTGAGAAACCTTGGGCAGGTCACGTAACTTCTTTGAGCCTTAGTCTCCCCATCTATAAAATAGGCATTCATTTAACAAGCCTGCTCCACAGATGTCGAGTTAACTGATGTATGTTGGACACCATTCTGGTGCTGAGAGTAGAACAGGCCTTGTTCCCGTGAAGCTTCCAGTCCTGTGGGTGTAACTGCATTTACCTCGGGATTAAAGAAGATAATATGGATACTGGGCCTGGTACATAGTTGATGCTCAATAAACGACAGGGATCTCTTGAGGTTGAAAGTGCTCCCCAAGAAACTCTCTTCCCTTCCCAAGTTTGACATGAGTCAAGATTTGGAAGTCAGTCCTTCTAGTGGAAAAATAAACAGATTTGAGAATATAGCTGAGCTATTCAGCCAAAATAGGCTTCTAAATACTCCCTCTGAATTAAATTACTCTCCGCCCCCAGCGCCAGACACACACATATACACACAACTACGGGCCTCTTTCTTCCCGGGACAGAACTTCTCCTGGGAGCTTAAACCCTCCCACTGGAGTCGAGAACACTGCTCCGCCTGGACAAAGGATTCCAGACGAGAAAGAAGAAAGTGCTACACTGGGCACTCCCGTTTTCTTCTTTAAACCCTGCCCCGCCCACCCCCCCCCCACCCCCCCCCCACCCCCTGTGGTTTCCACTCCATCCACTACTTACAACAAAATAATTATTGGGGCAAGAGC